AGCTTCATCTTTTGAAACCTCTCCGGGGTGGTGGCGGGCGGCAAAGGCTCAAACCCGCGCTTACTACCATCCACTATCGATGTTGAGACATCCATATCTTGGTAAAAGGAGTCATTCGGCTCAGTTGGTGTTGGTTCAGCCATGGAAGCCGCCGAGTGCTCGTAGGGCATCCCAAACGACGGCGCCTGGTGAGATGCAGACCGAACGCGCTTCCGCGGAGGTTCATTTGCCTCCTCATGGTCGAAGCTGGCACCGTCGTGCATAGCATAGCGCCCGTTGCTCTGGAAATTGTTCCCAAAACCACCATCAGACGTCACACTATACATGCTTTGTTGACTGTTCAGAGGTATGTGGGTATCTTGGCTGCTCATCTGGTGCGAAGGCTTTCGTATAACACTTGATCGCCTTTGATCAATTCCGCGAGCGGCAGGCGAGTCAAAGCGAGCCTTGCTCATGGCATTTACCGCCGTCGCAGCCGTGCGGGAGATGTTCTGGAAGAATGTGCCTTGTTGAGGTTGGCTCATGCCGCGGTTATCCATCCCACTGTACAGGCGTTTCCGTTGCGCAGCCATTGCTTGCTCCTTTGTCGGGGTGTCGAGTGAGTCCTGCGCCGTACCATTTGTGCCGCCCATATCGTATTCAAGAAGGGGTCGCAGCAATTCTTCGACGTGGTATTCACGGCAGAGCTCCACGCCCCTCTGGTAGTTGACCCAGGTTCCTTGGTATTTACCATACCCTCCTTGAACCTTCTCATGCTCGCCAGCTGCAATCTCTTTCTCTAGTGTCTTTGTCCTCCGCGCCTTGACCACACCGGCAACCTTGAGAATCTGCGTAGCATTGAGCCACGAGTCGGAGCGACGTTTCATCACAGCGACTCCGTTCACTTCCATTTCGTAGACGGAGACGTTAGAGTACACGGCCTGTCGACACATCAAAGCGAGTCAGTAACGTTTGAGGGATCGAAGATGCGCAGATGACGATAAACTGACCCTGTAAATCTGAGGCTTGAACTCTTCATGGTACATTATTGTCCCATATCCATTCATGTCCTCAAAACCTGCGAAACTTGACCGAGGGCCGTGCGGAAGGCCATTCGAGTAACCAAAGGACATCGACTGTTGCGACCCTTTCGGGGGAGGCGTAGCTCGAGGGGTGGAGGAGACCGACTGGGAGGCGTTGAAGGAGCCCATTTGCGATTGCGAAAATACCATGCCATTGGCGGAGCTCATGCTGCTCTGGGAGTAGGACATGGGTAAGCCTGGGCGAGCTGGGTGGTTGTTATTGGAAGCCATTGAAGGAACGGTGAATTAGCAGTGTTAGGGTGCCCGACCCAGACACCGACTCAAGGCTGGCTGCTCTGTCGAAGGAAAAAGTAAAAAAAGGTTAATGAATACGGATTGCAGGTACCACAAGCCAATAGCAGGGCCAGTTCAACAAGTGAACAGCATCATGACAGAATGAGAGAATCGCGAAAGCATGTGGGGAACTGCACCTATCCTGGGATCTACTGCTCCAGTCTGACTTGACCGGCCAGGCAATTCGGAACGTCGCGCGAAAAGAGAGAGGCGCGTGGCTAGCGCACCGACCGCGAAGGGATGAGACAAGTCAATGAGATTGATTCTGGCGAGGCAGTCAGGCCCTGAACGGCCCGGAGTAATTTTACAAGTAGTGCAAAAGCCACTCTATCTGCAGCTCTTTCAGGTAATCCTGTACAACATAGCCTTGCATGAAGAAAATGGGTAAAAGGAACGAGATGAATGAGTTGATTGAAGTCGCGGGGGCGTTCGTTATTCGCTCCGGTCGCGTTCGCGGCTAACCCGATTTCGCGTATCGCTGCCTCGAAAACATCTATTGCCTGTTTGGGTGCTTTATCTTCACCGCCTGCTGCTTCTGTCGGATAGCCTCGCGGTGCTGCGGAATCAACTCCGGGCTTGGAGAGGAATTGATTAGAAGATAGGTAAAGGCATACCATCAGACACCATGTCTGCCATCCAGATCCCTCCCGAAACATGGCGGCACCTTCTCCGCTCCTTACTCCGCGAATGCTCCTACCTTCCTGACCCCGTCGCCAGAGTTACATTTCATGCCCAGATCCTCCAACGATTCCGACGGTATACCCAGAAGAAAGAGACCGATCAACATCGACTTCTATTACTCCGGAAGTCAGCAACACACCAACTGTCCTTACTCAGACGAGCCAATGAGGGATATACAAAGCCACTGGAAAAGGTCTTGCAGCAGGCTTATGGCCGCAGAGGGCGACGGAGACAAGAGCTCATACAAGCATTGGTCACACCAGCGGACGCAGTGGACGCATTGAAGGCCGCGGATGCGCAGACAGTGGCACCAGAAGCGCCAGAGATGTTCGAGGATGGATGGCGGCCCCCTTCGGTCATGGTTGATCTGTTGAAAGCTCAGAATCGTAACTCGATGATCACGACGCTGAATGCCGGGTACTATACCAAGCAAGTCGAACCAGTGGTTCCCGCGGAGAATATCTGGGGGAAGCCGCTTGCTCCGTCTCGTCGCAGGAACATTCGGAGGAAATGGTACAATCAGACGCTACATAATCTGTTTCCACCACTGCCTGACTCGGAGCTCAAGGTGTTGGAGGGTCTTATGTCGGGGATTATACCATGGGCGCCACCCAACCGACGAAAGGCAGTTGGGACTTCTCCCACCCCTGAGTCTACTCTAGATGCTGGATTTCTGACAAAGGGACCGCAGAAGGGGGATACGTTCGAGAATTATGTAGACGGACGGCCCCATAACATCACCCGACGGTTCATGCAGAGGCTCTGGAAACGCATATCCTGTCTAGTTCCTCGCGTGAACTGGGATACTAGAAGCGGAAAGCCCGCATTCACCTGGGACGTACTCTACTCAGGACCTAAGTTGGCTCTGAAGTTAGACGAAAGCACGGCGTCTGAGCTCTTCGCAGGCATCGATGCCAATGGCAGGATAATCAAAGAACAACCAAAAGAAGCGTCAGGATGAATATTAATCACTCAGCATAATCAATCATGGAGTATGTGACAAAGGATACAACACACAATTCTCGAACAATTCCAAACAAGATGGACCGCAAACGAGCCGTCAGTCACAGTCACGAAAAGTGCACCTTCCCATATATGTCAACCCAGGGTCTCACATTGGGACCACACCACATCCTCCCATTAGCTACATTCTCAAGCTCGAAGCCATTCGGCCAGAGCTTCTCCATCTCAAGTCTAAAGGCGTCCTTCGACTCTCCATTTTTGATCCTCAACTTCTCAAAATACACATACGAGGCATAGAATACCGTCCCTGAGCTCCCGGCGGTAGGGCCCTTCTTCTTGAGAAACTCCCCAAACGAATTCGCATTCAGCCTCTTCGTACCCTGCGGGTACGCCGCCTTCGCAGCCTCTCTCATGAATCCCGCCTGCGTCACTCCGGTCTTACGCAAATGCGCCCGGATTTTCCTCCTCACCACATCGCACGTCTCAAAGACCTGCACACTCCCATCCTCATCTCCATCCAAGTGAACACCCGAAAGATCAACCGCAGCCGGACTCGCTGGCTGATTCTTCTTCGCCCTCTTCGGGGCACTTCCTGCCGCAGTTGCCGCAGGCTGAGTCTCAGCCAACGGCACGACAGGTCCTCCGCTCCAGCTGTCAAAAAACTTCAAGGCGTTCTTATACGTAGCAGAACGGGCGCCCTTGACGCCCTCCTGGCTCAAAAACTCAGAATATGACCGCGGAGACACGTTGATTGCGCGCTGGAACTCGCTAGCGCTCATCTGTCCTGAAGCGATGAAATCGCGTATCTCCTGCCGAATCTCGTCGCAGCTTTTCTGCGTATTTCCAGACGGTGATGCTGCTCCTGCCGCTGGCTGATTCTCTTTATCAGGGCCAGTAGCGATCGCAGGATCCATCATATCGATGGAGGTTCTCTTCTGGGCAGGCATATCGAATAGATAATTGTTCGACACGCTTGTAATAAGCTAATGTATATAACGCCTAGGTAATATATATAAGAGGCACAAAGAAACCCAAAATGAAGGACGAGTACTAAGTAGTCGAAATAGTAAATAGAAACACGCGCCGACGCGTCCACTGCAGTTCAGTGAGCAAATGGACGGATCAGGTCCATGAATCCCTGTTCAATAGTAGATGGCTGTACTCCGTAGAAACATCATACTACTCCGACGGGCAGTGGCATGAGTGGAGCGATATGCTCGTTCATAATTGGTCCGTCAATGGGGATGATCAACAGTCGGTGTTGAGGTATCACATCTTCTGTGTCAGGAGATAGTGGTATTTATTGAATTGACACCTCTATTATGAGGTTGAAGTGACGTTGATGTCTTGTTCAGTACTATGTGCAGGCTACTTAGCATGATGTACCTCTTCATTTCTGTGGTGGGTAGGTAGGGGCAACAGGTGGCAAATGATGATCGAAATATAAAGTACGTAGGTAGGGCAGAATGGATTGTAGCGGATTTAAGCATAGCATCGAGCAAGTCAATATGGAAGACTACTCACCACCCTCAAGCCTAGTAACTTGCAACGGAACCCGAAAACTACTAATAAGCAGGATAAAGAACCATTCAACAATAGAACATCGATTTGCGAGGCACACGCATACAATACTTAGCTCTGAACTCCCAAAACAATTGCGCCTTTTCCTACCTAGCGGATTGTAAATCGAATGTAAAAAGAAAAATCAGACCAGATCATAGTGCAAACCATCCATCAATCCATCACACATCACTTTACTACCATCTTGTCTGTCACTGTCAGATACATCCTGACGCTTCGTTCATCCCACCTTCTCCTTCACTCCTCCTGTCCAGCCCTATGATATTGTACAATACAATGGATGTTATTGAAAAAAGCAACCCCAATCGGCTCCTTCGTCCGGTCGTTAGAAATGAAAGGAAAGGGTTATTGAATTTCTCTCCAACTGTTGGGAAAAAAGCATGTCATCATTTGGCGAAACATTCCCTTTTCATAGGTACATTACAGGTCCAACGTCTTGTAGTCAGCGCCTGTTTCTGCACTCAGCGGCTGCACGCCTCTAACGTCACCTCCTGCCGGTTGGAAGTTATAGCGGTTGCCGATCCCGGTCGTAGCAGCATCGGCGAGCATGTTGTTGGTCTCCTCACCAGGGCCCCGAAGGCTGACGGCCTGCAGAGTGTCCTGGACCTCCTTGACGCGTTTCTTGAAGGCCATGCGGTCGAGGAAGAGCTGCTGGCGAGCGAGCTCAAGTTCCCGGCGTTCGGCTTCGATGATCTCCTCCATCTCGTTGAACTGCTGCAGCTTGATCTCGAACTTCTGGAGGGTGACGTTGACGGCCGATGAGACCAGGCGGGTCATTTCACGTTCTTCGTGAGAAGCCAGAGCACCAGCACGAGCGGCGGAAGCCGCGAGGGCCACAGTGGGAAGGGAAGCCTTGCCCTTGTCGGAGCCAGCGACCTCGACAGCTTGCTCGGTTGCTTCCTCGCGAGCAGAGTCCACTTCCATGGAATCCTCAGCCTTGACTGTGGCACTGCCTTCCTTCTCCTTGCCCTTGTCTTGGGCTCCAGAGCCCTTCTCGAGCTGCTTTCTCAATTCCTTGCGGATCTCCTCCACGGAGCGGCCGGCGGCAGCTGCGGCCACGGCAGGCTCGGCCATCTGTGCAAGGAACGCAACCACGGACAGGACAGGGTTCTCGGTCTGGCTGATAGGCTCCCGCCCATTGCCTGCACGAACCTCGGGCATATCATCCAGATACTTGTCTTCGATCTCCAGCTGCAAGAACTTCATCACGCACTCCTCCTTTGTCCTGGATCCAACGTGAGTGGCAATTTGTTCCCAGTTGTCGTCGAAGTTTTCCAATCCCTCCAGCAACAGCACAAGCTCCGAATCCGACCACGGAGCATCCCGGTCGGGCGCAATCGAGTATGGGCTGTCTTCGAGCTTGACGAAGTCGGAAGCACTGTGGCTGGACGGCATCCGGCCCTGAAGGAAACAGTTGGGGCACAGATCGTACTTGGTGTCAGGTGCAGCTGGGTTGGCGGTTGCTGGTGTCGCCTTTGCGTAGTGGAATCTGAGGCGAGTACAATCGATGCCACAGGAGAAGCAGTTGAACTTCTTTCTCGGTTCCTTGGAAGCGCTCTCCATCGCCTTGGTCGAATCGCCCGTCGTACCGTTCGTTGAACCTTCGCCATTGGTCTGCTTGTCTTTGTCCTCCGTAGCAGGGGTGATCTCCTTGCCCTTGTCATCATACACATTGCGACGGATCTCGAGGTTCAGGTCGGCCTTGGCAGCCGGGGTGGCTGATGCTGCACGATCCGTGGCCGGCAAAGGCTTTCCGGGCTTGACGAAGTGGTTGGGTCCGGGCTGGAATGGCTGGAGGCCTCTGGGGGTATCGGCGACCACTCGGAAATGGCCAGTGAAAGGAGGGCCGATGTTGGACGGACGTGTTTGAGGATCCACCTGAATCAAGGCATCAGCAACTCGAAACTGAGGTTGGCACCGGGCGGATACTTACCTGGTAGTTGATGAGACCCCATTGCTCCAGGAAGGAGTGCACGCGCATGATCGCACAGACGTCTCCGGCAAGGTTGCGGCGGCACGCAGTGACTGTGAGGTACTCGATAGGGTTCAGACGGTAGGTGTTGATCATGAAATCACGGTAATCTTTGTAAACAGCAGGGGTCTTGCTACGGTTTCTGCCGTTGAAGAACTCCGCCAGAGCCTTCTTCTCGATCGGGTGAATGAGGTGCATGTCGAACCAGGTGGAGTAGCTGGGGAGGATGATGGCGTGGGTTTGCGAAACGAGATGTGAGCGCGCGGAGGCTTCAATGGATGCCTTGGCCTGCGCCGGCTGTTCATCTGTAGCACCTTCAGCGCCGGACTGTGCGGCAACATCAGCGAGGTCCTCGCCTCCATCGGTCTCCTTCTTGGTCTCCGTCTCGGTGCCGCCCATCTCCTCATCCTCGGGTTCGCCATCGGCATTCTGGCGCTTGGGTGAAGCGGGGGCATCTAGCGGGTTATCAGTATCGGGGCCAGTCTCGGTCTTTTTCTCAGGAGATCCCTGATGCGATTGCGATCCTGGGTGTCACGATTGCGAATGTTGGCAAGTTCCAATCCCCTTAGGGGCGGAAAGAGGGAGAACGCACCGGAAGTGGTAATCACATCACCTGGGGCATCCTGTGCCACGTTAATAGCCTGAGCATCCTCAGTGGCGCCACCAGACATAACCTGGTTGTCTTCCATCTTGTTGGCACGATAGTCGACGACGGGAAGCTGAGGTCGCGGGTGGCAGAGAGCAAGGGACTTGGCTCTGCTCAGAAGAAGGGTTGGCGGGGCGCAAACGCGGCCCTCTATGTAGTAGAGACGTGAAAGGAAAGGTTATTAGGAATATGCAAGATAGAATGGGGGTGGATGACTCCACCAGACAGCGACGAGAGATTGATGGATGAGTGGCTTGGAGGCAGAGCGACTGTCGCGACACGGACCGACGCTCCAAAAACTCGCGCCAAGACCATAAGATGCGCTAGCCATACTTGGACTAGTCGTTACCGGGCTCTTCCCCATCGCGGATGGAGCTTCTTCTCTCCACATTATCGATCTATTCCCTACCAGCCCTACTCTGTTCTGACATCGCAATCTATATTCTATTGCTTTGGTTGCAGAATACTCAAGGTATGAGAAGCATCAATGACTGTTCTCAAAATTTACTACATACATATTCCCCATATTCGAACCTTTTCAAGTTCCCGATAGACATCCTATATTGAATGACACACCAAACCCAAATCCACTCAGTGCGTTTCATTCGCGATTGCTTCCTTCTGTAGACTGGCCGTCTTAGAGATAGCCGGTCTTGCCTTGATTTTTTCCAGCCAGGCGTAAAGGTTCGGGTATTCCTTCTCCAGATCAACATCATTATCCGTAGCGGCTCCAAAGTAATTGTACCACTGCACGAACGAGATGTCCGCGTAGCTATACCGTCCACCGACCAGATATTCCCTGTCTTTTAGGACGTTGTCCAGTACCCATGACACCCGAAGAACCTCTTTCTTGTATCTCTCCTGAGCACTAGGAACCACTTCAGGGTGGTGTCGTCGGAACCAAACAGCCTGACCGAAGTACGGGCCCTGCCCACTCATCTGGAAGTGTAGCCATTGTTTCGTTTCGAAGAACTCGGGGGTACCAGCCGGGAAACTGATTTTGTTGTCTTTGTCGTATGTTTCGGTCAGATATTCAATGATGGCGCCGGACTCCCATAGTGTGATTCCCGTGTTAGGGTCCTCAATGGCGGGGACGCGGCCGTTGGGGTTGACGAGGGTAAAAGGTTCTTTTTTGACGTCTCCAGAAGCTACGTATCTCGTTTTGTAGGGGAGCTCGAGTTCTTCGAGTACCATGGCCACTTTCCAGGGGTTGGGGCCCTGGGTGTGGCCCCAGAGGGTGATGGGTTTGAGAGACATGCTGAATGGTGTTGGTACTTGTGGTGGTTATTGTATAGAGAGGGATCTGTGGTTTTTGATGTGTGAGCCTTTGATTGGAGTGGGTTTCTATTATTGATCCTGTTTGTCCTTTTATACGAGATTCATCTGCTAATTCGATGGCTTTCTACAACAGTTGCCTCCATCACAGATGATGTTGCTTAGAAACCAAATACTTCGGCATCGGATCGTCAGCTTATGTCGGTGTTTCGGCTCTTCGTATTCCCTGCTGACAAACCAAGTGATAGCCAACAATGCAACGCAATATCGCACCCAGAAAATTATATTGGGCCAGGGGCTGCAAAATGTCAGAAGTATATGTTTCTGTGACGTATGCCTATAACTATTGTTGACTGTTGATTTGTAAGACGGACAGGCAGCTCCGTACATCAACTCCACCGGGTCAGGGACTTTCAAACGCCGGCAGATCTCATCCCCCTGGATCTGGTATTTCGGTTACTATTTTTGTTTCGCTTGCAATTGGTGGTTGTGTTCTTCAAGTAGTCATGTCTGCTTATGTCTCTGGTTGCATGGTCGAACTGGTGTTTGTATCTGACGTAGTATACACCACGGTGGGTATAGGTGACCCTTGTAAGCTCGTGATTAAGGTTACTCATGAAAAGTTTTAAGCTATCGGGAATACGATTAATTTCACTCCTTCCATGAGTCCTCCGATCCTCAGAGTACCTGTTTCTGTCCTATACCAGGCGGAATAAGCTGACGGCCCCGCCTTGGCATATGGGTTTCATGTGTATCTTATCGCGTGATAGTGGTGACATTTGAGGTACTTCTGGTAGCTATATGCTTTTCATAATATTGTTGGCGGGAGTTATTGGCTTCAATTTCTGCACGAACATGGCTATGAGTGACATTGATGCTAGTACTTAGTAGTAAATGTCAACTTGCCGAGACTACCATGAGCGGCCAAATATATATACTAGGTCTACACGTTAGTTATTCATCACGATGGCGGGATGAAAGTGAAGAGTACAAGCAGGTCACCTCGCAGTGGGATAAATTAGAAACCGCCTCAATACAAACCATATAAACGCCTATATGATATGCAAGCCCAACATATACAACCAAATGCGCCATGTAGACTTGGTACATACACAATCCTAGCACAGTAGACTATCAGCAGAAAGATGCGGCCCCGCTTGTAGAGCACAAGTTTTGCCACCTTGCCAAGCAAACGGGTCAATAGCTCAGTGGTACGAGCGAGAGATTGCAGATCTTTAGGTCGCGTGTTCGATCCACGCTTGGCCCTTGCTTTTTGATTTTTGAACATCATATACAGGTTGTCCTTCGTATGAAGCTATGGCATGGGATTTTTTATTGCTACATCATACGCAGCAGATTCTTGAGCGGTAGCTCAATATGCTGACACGTACCACTATCCATTGAAAGACGTGCCGAGAAATGTACATATATACCCATGGGTTGAACTCCGCAGCCCTTTCAAAATATACCATTACGTGCACAACCTCCCTCATCAATTGGAAGAAATAACCATACTAAAGGACTTATGAGAAACTGTCGCATGTGATTTTAGTGAATTGGATGCTAAGGATTGTACAGACCTGCAAATGTCAAAGTAAGTAAGTAGTACCTGGAGGGTAACCCAGGGGATGCCATGGACCTCAGGAACCAGCAAGAACACAATAAATCCGAGGTTCTGAGCCAGTTGATCAATCAAAGCAATATAATGCAAGAAGGCAAACGACCTTTCAACAAGAAAAGGGCCGGTAGCTCAGGGGTAGAGCGTGGGACTGCAGATCTTAAGGTCACGCGTTCAAATCGCGTTCGGCCCTTTCCTTTTTGTTTTTATTTTTTCCCCTTCGATCTCTATAAGATGAGAGACAATGCATCTATTTCTTCCTTCACTTTGAAGTCTGTTGTGTGAACTGGCTGTATCCTTTTTATAACAGACTGAGACTCATCACTACTCAGCCGTGCCGCTCATACGATGCAAGTCGGTTATATTGGAATGTAGCTGAATTCCTATCCAAACAAAGTCTATAGCCGCCTTGGCGAGGTATCTAGATAAACATGCAAGTAGGTATCCCGAAAGATATTATATACAAAAGACCTGGATCAAGCCACCCAGAATATTCATACAGAAACGGACCTGAATACAATAACCAAGTTATGTGATACCCAGTCCTGCAAGATCGATCAGTCCGACACCGGATCGGCTGGGCTCATTGGGTGGGAATACAATGGCACCTCGCCTTCAACGGTCTCCTCCTCTTCGGATGAGGCTGCGTGTGGCTCAGGTAGATCGTCGTCAGTACTAGACGCTGCTTCACTATCCGATTCAGGCTTGATCGCCCCGCGAAGGCGACGACGTGGAGGACTATCTGCTTCCGTGGCCTTGGAAGGGACTAGCATAACGCCTGATCTCAGGTCTCTTCGTGGCGGATACCCTTCTGGATGACCCCCAAGCTCTTCAATCAGGCGAGATGCATGTTCGGATATAGGACTCTCGCCCTGTGAGGAGGTACCTTCTCTATCTGGAAACTCTTCGATTTCAGATTTGGATGGTGTCGGCTCATCCACCCGCATTTCATCGTAGTCATCTTCGTCATTCGCATGGTCGCTGTCATTTTCCATGACACGAGTGTCAAAAAGGCCGGCACGCGGCTGACCAGGAGTCGGTATCAACCGATCTGTAAGCTTTGTATCCGTCTGGTCGAAACGTCGCCTCTTCCGCCGGTTTTCTGAAAGCTCGTCGTATAGGTCCACAAGATCATGCCCGTATTCCTCCCATTCGCTGCGATAAAAGGTCCTGTCACGCCAATCGACCAGGTCCTCCTTTGTCTTGCGCTGGCCAACCGGCCTCCGTGGGACAGCATCCTGCGCTTCATATTTTTGGATTTGGGTTTCGAGGGGCTGTGGGGGTGGCTCACCAATGAGCTTCCATAGTCCCACTTCCTCAAGACGGCTCATCTGACCATCAACTTGTTCAGCATGGTCGTCCTCTGGATCCGTTGACTGTTCTTCACCTGGAGACGACATAGGCGAAGAGAGCTCGGATGATGCCGCGGAGTATTCAGACTCGTCGTCGCTATAATCTAGGTCCTCAACATCCGTGTTCTCTGGAGCACGACTTCCCGATCTTCCCCTCGAGGCACTTCTCTCACGCGACTCTGATTCCAGAGGTATCTTCCCAGACAAGATATCCTCTACCTCATCATGCTCCATGTGTATTGATTTCCACCCCTTTCGATGACGAGAATCTTCTACCTTCAAACTGCATCGCCGCGCCAGGCCGACCCAGTAGTCGGAACGGTCCCGTTGCATGTTGAGCACGTCCAGCGCAGTCTTAACATCGCGAGACCTCACAACGTTCGCCTTTTGATTGCCAGTTTGTCGCATATTCCGCAGCCTTGACATTGCGAAGAAAAGAGATGACTGAACAAGACGGCGTGTCAGACTGATCGTCAATGCGTAGAAGTCCGCGAACGAATCGGCAGTCATGGACGGTGTTTCATCCGCGAAGGCTACATTGGCCCAATTGTCTTCCAGTCGTGCACCGCCAAAATTCATAAAGAATCGTTCTGACAGCCGGATCCACTTTCTCATATTGAAGAGCTCAGCCGTAAGATGCGCACTGGAGCTAGCACTTGGATCGGCGCCCTGGGACTTGACTTTCTGCGAAAGCTCTTCTGCTGTCTCCCGATTGATGATCCACAGGTCTTGATGCTTCTGCTTTCCAGCGACATCTTCTGCCAACTGCTCCTCCATCGAAACCAATTCAGCGTATTGGTCGAGCTCATCACAGCAGTCCTTGCTTATTTCAGCTGCTGCGGGTACTTCACCTAGAATAATTGTCCTAGTATGACGATCCTTCAGGTGCTGTCTTTCCAGGCCCGTATGGAGCAGGTTCAAATGCTCCTGAACTTCAAGCTCAGATTTCGAGCCCAGCTGACGGGATATTTCTTGAATCCCATCCTTGCTCTTCCTATCCAAAACATGATATAGTACCTCCTTTTCCTTTGGGGTCCAGGTCACGATTCCATTCTGCGATGTAATGTGGTTCTCACCACCGTTGATTGTAGGGACGGGCGCATGATCTTCGATGATTCCCGCAAGCACGCTGGAGTATGCTTCCGCAGACTCCTTCGATAGCGATAATTGTAGATCCTCTAGCGCCTGGGCCCGCGTGCCTCTTGCGGATCTGCGTTCCGTCTTCGACGTTTGCACGGGTGGATTTGTTGTCGACGAAGTGGGACCAGTTGACGGAGGAACCGGTAACGGGGCGCTTGTTTGTGAACGCTTGATCTTGAGCTTGTATTCCGATGTGTCGTCGTCGTCTTCGTCTGGTTCATATGGAGTTGGGCTGCTCATGATCGAAGATAAAGAGGGCCAAGAGGCAACCGCACCACAGGCATACGATTAGGGAAGATGGCGAAATCATCCCCTTCTCTCTCGCGCGCCCGTATAATCAGGAGAGCATTGCGGCACCGGCGACAGATACAAGGCCGGGGCGTCTGCAGTTGACTGATCAACTTTCGCAGTTGGGATGGGAAAGTTTTCTGATAAGATGCGGATGTTTGCACTGTTTGTTTCCCCGCCGCGTGCCGCTCGGATTCATTCCGCGACGGAGCAACTCAACAGTCAACAACCATAGGCTCTGATTATATGTGAAGTCCATTCGCAAAATTGGAATCATCCTTGTTAAGTCTTTGAAAAAGGTCCGGAGAGGATTGCAGATACTCTCATGCTGACAACACCTTCAGCTCACTCTAGCTTCACTGTTAGCTCTGAAGCTCTGCGTTGGTAACGACAACGACAGTACAGCGGGACAGTCTGTATCTGCGACTACTACGGGACTTATATCACTTCAGATCTTGAAACAAACAAGCACACGGAAACCAAAGAACCGTACTTGCTAGACGCTGGGTGGCTTGCAAGCCCGGATAAAACGAAAAAGAGCCGATAAGGCTGATCCCAACTAGCTCGCTCTCCAGGATTGGTCGGACGAACAGCGGCACGAAAAGGTGTTCATGACAAATTCCATTCTGGCTCACCAAAGGAAGAGTTCAGAACTTCACATAAGGATTACAGTTACAAAGTATAATGCTACATAAATTTCTTCCAAGATATAAAGTCGAAGAGGCCTACCCTTCAGCCACTACGCCTAGCTCATCTTAAGCAATAAGGCAAATATCTTACAAGATGTATAACATCCTCGAAACCAGGATGGACCTGGCAAGGGAGGGAAGTGACTTACTTACATAGTCTTCCGCTATATCAGGTCTGTACTGAATCAATCAAAATGTTCGACCGCGTTTCACTGCTACCGCCACAAATTCACATCTGCAATATGTCGCCAAGGTATCTCCAGCCTCGTGTGCAATAAGTGGTATTATATTAGCAGTCTGGCTATCAGCATCTGGCCACATAACACACGGGATTTTGCCCAATAAAGTTAAATCGGAACAGATAGGTTACATCCGGTGATCGATTCCGAGTCTAGACAGCAGACCTAATTACCAAGTGGAGGATCGTAGAAAGCGGTTGGCAGCAAACAGAGTTGACGGGCCCGATGAGAAGGCGAGAGCTGGCTGAACTTCGGAGATGCGACGGTGATGGTGGAACCCATGGAGGGGTAATGAATGCAGAACGAGTAGGGAGCGCAAGCTAACGCCTTTTCATTGAGCAAACTGCCATGACCCTGTCAATTAGGTGATTAGGCAGTGTTTCGCGCCCATTGACCCCTATCCCTGCACCCGCGCGGATTCGTGGGAAACATCTTCAGCCCTGGCTATGTTCGACCTACGCCTTGTTTTATACTCAATGACCTATCCCATTTTCGCTCTTCTCATGATATTTCATGGTATTGATCTCTTCATGGTAAAGATACCGGCGAGGCGGCTGTCTGATTCTCCGGATTGGCTTCCCCGTCCGCTCGGACAACACTAAATTATAGTATGCTGCCAACTAGCTTTCCCACTATGTAAGGGAGCTCCACAGCGAAGGGAAGTGTGCCTGTCAATAAGAGACCCACTAACCGGGCCGCCCAGCCGTCAAATCAAGCCTCGGTTGGTTATTACTCTGTAGACAATCTGAACCACCGGTGCAATCGCCATTTTGGGCCTGCCAGCATGTCTTACAACGCAGACGGCAATTGATCGACATGCTCGTATAGGGATTCGCACACGAACCCTTCGCTTCATACAACCTACTCCACAGGAAAACTTTACACACGCCGTCCATGGCTACTCCAATTCGAATCGTGCCATACGGGTTGACTTGCCCCATGTAGCCATGTACTTTGTTGCGACTCGGGACCACTCCGGCTATGTCGAAATATGGGCAAGGGGAATAAACTACGGAAATGCACTAAGGGCAGGAGTATTCCCTAGCCCGCTTGCTGCAGCGTTTCGACTTATATTATGATAGTGTAGCCATCTTGAGGGACACAGTCGGAGGAAATATTCCCAAGCGTTTCCAATAGGCGAACTCAACATGAAGGTCTCCAGTGCGGCAGTCCCTGTTCTTAGCATTCTGCCCGAGGCCAGCCTCGGGCTTGGTTCTACGCAAGTTTGTGTATGTGATTTGTGTTCAGTACTTAGTGGGTGTACTAATAGCCTTGTTACCTAGTGCGCCGCTCTGCAAGCGACCTCCCTGCGTAACCAAGTCCTTTATCCTAGCAGCACGGCATACAATGAGTCCGTGTCATCTTACTTTGCGGTCAATGTTCAGCTCGATCCTACGTGTATTGTCCAGCCGCACACAACGGAGGATGTCTCGCTCATTGTCTCGACTCTGACCCAAACCGGCGAAACGCAATGCCCATTTGCTGTGCGCAGTGGTGGCCATACCACCTGGCCTGGTGCAGCAGATATCGGACAGGGCGTTACCATTGATCTGTCCATGATGAACAGCACCACATACCACAAGGATAAAGGTGTTGCATCTATCCAGCCGGGGTCGCGCTGGCAGGCGGTCTACAAGGCTCTTGATCCTTATGGAGTCACTGTGCCTGGCGGGCGCGGTGGACCAGTTGGCGTGGGTGGGTTCCTGATTGGAGGCGGAAACACCTTCTACACCGCACGTGTAGGCTTCGCTTGTGACAACGTCGAGAACTTTGAAGTCGTTCTTGCCAGCGGATCGATTGTCAATGCCAACCGGACTAGCCATCCTGATCTGTACAAGGCGTTGAAGGGTGGATCGATCAACTTTGGAGTTGTCACCAAGTATGACCTCAAGACGTTGCCTCATGATATGCTTTGGGGTGGACTGGTCGTCTATGATAATTCGACCACCGAACGACAGCTCTCAGCCGCAGTAAACTTTACCAACAACATCCACAATGACCCCTACGCATCCTGGATCGGGATGTGGGAGTACAGCTCAACGACGGGGCAAAACATCATTGCCGATGCCCTGGAATACACCAAACCTGTTGCCTTTGCCCCTGCATTCCATGAATTCACGAGTATTCCAAACACCACTGACACGATGCGGTTTGCTACTATTTACAACCTGACGCAGGAGCTGGTTCAGGCGGCGGGATACCGGTAAGCCAGTCCCTAATACATAGCCATTTTCGGTCGTCTTTCTCCCTTGAAGAGGCCATCTTCCCGAGGAGATCGTTGCTGGTGATGTTGAAGCCGGTTCTTGTTGCTTGGGTCGCTAACAGCTCACAACTTAGGGATATCTTCACAACCGGTACCTACAAGAACGACATCAATGTTCTTCGCAAGGCGATCGACCTTCACAACAACAACATTGAAAAGGCCAAGGCCCATGTCAAGAGTGACTACTGGGCCATGGATGTAATCATCCAGCCGTGGCCCAAGCTTTTCGCTCAGCACAGCGTGGAGAAGGGTGGCAATGTTTTGGGCTTGGAGCGATTTGATGAGAACCTGATCCGTATGTGACCCGACCATGTTTCTAGCGCAGCACTAATCCGTTTGCAGAAATACTATTCGACTACGCTTGGGATGATGCAAGGGACGACGATCTTTTCATCGGCCTTGGCCAGTCGATCCTGGAGGAGGTTGACGAGTACGCCAAGTCGATTGGGGCGCACAATGAGTACATCTACCTCAATTACGCCGACAAGTCGCAAAACCCCCTCAAGGGTTATGGCGAGGAGAATGTCGAATTTATCTCCCGCGTGGCCAAGAAGTATGATCCAGACGGAGTGTTCCAGGTACAGGTTCCCGGTGGCTTCAAGATCAGCCAGGTTTAAGCAGCATCTCCAAGAAGTTTACGACTAGTTGAAGCGCTTTGTACAGTAGAGCACCAAAAAGAATGGGGTAGATTAGACAATGAGACAACGAATGCTCCACCCTCATCTCGCCTTGCTAGGCTGCGCCATTTTTTAACGCAGACTTAGTGCATCTTTGAAATTGCGGCGCAGTCAATCCGCATCGCTGTGGAGCCGATAATGAAGCCAGCACGAGCCGTTTCAACGCGATTCGACCTAGCACGGTCTGATCGTTCGCTTGCCTCTACTCCGTACTTAGGGCGCTCCACCACCGATCCTTTCCACTCCTACACCCGCCGACCCTCGGGCCTTTGGACGACCAGGCTTTGGCCTGGACGCCAGCCGTACGCGATGGCATATTATCCCGCTCCACACGGATGACACTATCCAAGCACCGGAAAAGTCCCCCAAGCTTGGCGGAGTTGTTATTGTTAATCATCGTAGTTTCGGCATGTGGTCCAATTTACCGCTGCTAATGAAGGATGCGCATATCCTTGTCGTCTTGGGAGAGCGTGCATAAGCTTTCGATAGCACATTCCTTGTTGGAAAGCGCACACAACACGCTTGTCCGTGAAGAGAAAAAGCAAGAAAAACAAAAATGATCGAAATACAAATCCTTTCTCTTTATTCTGTCTGTGCCGTCGACTAGGCCTTCCATGCCTCAGGGGCACCTCATAGAGTATAAGCTCCCTTCTGGAACCCTTCTATAATTTATGACGGTGTGAGGTTCCAATGAGAGGCTGTTGGCCTTCAATGCCACTTGAAGATGGCCATTACTACAATGGCGGACCCTCCCCCCGGGGAGACGTACGATTTTGACTACTCGCATCGTCATCTGTATACGGCAAATATGGCGGTGATTTCGGCGGGCTTAATCATCAGCACTAGCTGCCTAGCCTTGCGAGTGTATACCAAAGCACATTTGCTGCACAAGTTTGGATGGGATGATGGTATGTTAGCGTCTCAATGGTGAAGAGACTCTCTGACTTTTACAGTATCCATTATCCTTGCTTGGGTAGGCTGCCAGAGCGATTGGAATTGAAGCTATTCCACTAATCTTGCTCCAGGTGTTCTCTCTGGGCACCCAAGCATGTGCCATCTGTAAGTGCCTATTGCCATTGGTTAT